AGAAAAATGAGAAAGATAAGGAGAAGGAGAAGAATAAGGAGAAAGATAAGGAGAAGGAGAAGGAGACAGAGAAGGAGAAGGAGAAGAAGAAAAAGAAGGAGAAGGAGAAGAAAGGAAAGGAGAAGGAGAAGTCTAAGGAGAAGGAGAAGAAAAGGATAAGGATAAGGATAAGGATAAGGATAAGGATAAGGATAAGGATAAGGATAAGGATAAGAAGAAGGATAAGTAGAAGGAGAAGGAGATGGATAAGGATTAGGATAAGGAGAAGGATAAGGAGAAGGAGAGTGATAAGGAGAAAGAAAAAGGAAAAGAATAAGGGAAGGATAATAAGACGAATAAGGGGGAGGATAAGGAGAAGGATAGGCAGAAAGAGTAGGATAAGGAGAAAAATAAGGAGAAGGAGAAAAATAAGGAGAAGGAGAAGGAGAAGAATAGGGAGAAGAAGAAGGAAAAGAAAAAGATAAGGAGAATGAGAAGGAAAAGCAGAAGGATGAGGGAAAAGGATGAGGAGAAGGATGAGGAGAGAATGAAACGAAAGATGAGGAGAAGGATGAGAGGAATAAATGAATGAATGAATTTAAAAAAACACCAACCAATATACCTTGACATACTAGCCTTGACAGACAAATTTACTAAAAAGGCGCTAAAATCAGATCTCCATTTAAAATATTTTAAAATCAATGAATTTACTAAATATTTTTTTTATCAAAGTTATATAATAATATTGATATTAGATCCTAAAAGTTAATGAAAATATATCTTTAAAACGCAAATGTGTGCGTTGCCCTTTGGAAAAAATTTAGAAATTTTGAAAGAAATTTTTTTTCTGATTTAAAAAAAGTTAGATTATGGCCGGCTATAGGGAACATTAAGAAACAATATATCCTTGAATTAAGAAACAATATATCCTAGAATTAGACAACAATATATCCTAGAATTAAACAACAATATATCCTAGAGTTAAAAAACAATATATCCTAGAGTTAAGAACCAATATATTCTAGAAAAGAAACAATATATCCTAGAGTTAAAAACAATATATCCTAGAATTAAGCAACAACATATCTGTTTTGTATCATTTAAAATTTTTCTTTTTTTGTGTTTATGGCGTTTAAGTTGGATACTGATTTGTGGCATCAGCCTACTCTAGATCTAGTGATTACTTTTTATAGGCATATCAGAGCATATCAGAGCATATCAGGCATACCTACAATACTCAAGCATATTTGTAAGATGGTTCACCACTCAGATTATATAAATCATTCTTTGATGTGGAAATATAATTCCTTGAGATCGTATGTAAAGATTTAAATATTAATGTTAGCTTTTTAACAAATCGCTTAGTTCTTGAAACAGGCTTAGCATAATTCTTACTCATTGCAACGGATCGGGTCCAATTTTTTTACGGGGCTTCAAATGACCCCAGGGAAGGTTTATGGATGCTCAGAATTACATAAAATTGTTAGCAAAAAATTTTGATTTTCGTTAACTTTTGGAAATCTACGAAAAATTTGTAAATCCGCAAAAGTTGAATTTTAGTTCTATCCAAGAGAAAATGCTGAAAGATTGAGCAACAATTAAAAGTTGTGATAAAATATGGGGGTGGAACTTCCTAACAGCCTCGTAAGAATTTATTAAGGGAGGTTTGAGAAGAATAAAGAGGACGGAGGACTAATGTTTGTCTTCTGGAAACTATTCAGGACTACAAATGGGACGTATAGACTAAAATAAAATACAAACTCGTACATGCCGCTCGATAAATGTATTAACACATAAAACAGTGTCTGCTGGAAGTTTATATGATATTGTACACTCAGTGTACAGTACTATTAAACAAGCATTCAATATAGTTTTAAGAAAAGTATAATAAGCGTCATGTCATAAAAATATTCTTTTAGAAATATAACTACAATTGCAAAAGAGAAGTTACTCCAGAACTTTCCAGGCCGGGTTTTATTTAAAAACAGAAACAATTTCCAAGAATTGATTTTCCATCTTTTTGTTCACTATATTTTCCTGAGAAAAATGGTTTGAACGGTTTCCCTGGTTTACTGGGGTGACTTATACCGTTCCAACCCAATTCAGGGACTTCACGCCTCATTTTCAACCAATAGTTTTTCTAGCTATCTTTCTATCTATCTATATGGATCTATCTGTCTATCTGTCTATATGGATCCATCTGTCTATTTGTCTATCTGTCTATCTATCTATCTGGATCTATATGTCTATCTGTCTATTTGTCTATCTGTCTATCTGTCTATCTGTCTATCTGAATCTATCTGTCTATCTGTTTATCTGTCTATCTGTCTATCTGTCTATCTGTCTATTTCTATATATATTTATCTGTCAATCTATCTGTCTATTTGTCTATCTGTTAATTTCTCTATCTATTTATTTGTCTAACCAATCTATCTATCTTTGCACAAAAACGCTTAAACTTCTTGATTTTCCAACCATAGAACCAAGTAATGCGTTTGGAATTATACAGTTCCTATCATTGTACGTTTAACTTTTATTAAAATTGATCTCAATTGTGCCTTTATAATAGAATTTGAAACTAAGAAAATTTTACATTTTCTGTTAAAACAAAAACTTGTATTTCTCTAAAAGTTTGTTCTTATACGTGCGGCAACACGCGACCATAAATCACCAAATTTTGAAAAGAACACTATTTCGGCAAACTCAAAGAAAAACTGTGAGAAGGGTGGGGTGAACTTACACTGTAAAATGTGTATATTCATATATATACATTATACATTTACTATAGTGCTCTCATCGGTGTCTTTTTTCAGCAGTTGCCGAAATGAGTTACACGCGCTTGCCGCGTTAATTACAAGAAAGAGAGAGATTAGTATTTATTTTATGGTTAGGATATGTCAAGACACTTTCTGGATCAAGCGGTGCGGCTAGGGGGCCGAGCGCTGTGGCTAAAATATACTCTCTCTCTCTGTCTTGTAATTCACAACGTAACTCCTTTGGACTTCTGCCTCTTTTTTTTGGCCCTTTTAAAGGGACTGTCGACGTAATTTTAAGTGTTTCTTCTTTTGAAAAGTAGCATTCTGTACAGTCCAACCGAAACCAGAAAATTGACAACTTTCCCTTTCGGTTTTCTGCAAAAGCATAGAGAATAGAATATATATTAGAGGGGAATTTAAAGAATCTCTCGGTATGAATTTTTTCAGTCCCTTTCAGCCTGAAAGGGAGTTCAAAGTGTACAAACCATGTAAATGTTACAAATTATATGCAGTAGAGTACATTAATACAGTATGTTCCCTAGACTATCCATTTCAATTTCGAATTTTTTTAAAGCTGTTAAATAAACTTTATAATGAATTAGGTGAATAAAAACATCATTTGATTTATAGCTATAACGGAAAATCATTGTTTGTAAAGTAAAAGGCATAGAGTCTATGTGAAATGATCATTGGTCAATTATTTGGTTTTCTTTTAAGATTAATTTTAGATTTTCTATAAAATGATATTCCAGGGCCCAAAAGGTTATATAGCATAAAAACGTGAAGTACACCTGCAGTATGGAAACAGTACAACAAAATGGCCGTTTTACACTTTTTTCTAGTAAATTCCCCTCTTACATAAATTCTATTCTCTTTGTGTAAAAGTCCCCGGCGGATTTATGCTGGAGAGACAAAACGACGATACCCTCTTTATTGTAAATCAGATCAGGAGCTTTACGGATCTAAACGTTATATTGCCAACTTTTGAACTTGTTTATCATAAAACATAGATTTTTATATAATTTATATTCTAACTTTTTTCGTGATTTATTAACTCTAAAATAGAAGGAATCGAGTCTAAAATGCTAGGCTTGGATAAAGATCATTTTAAAGAAAGACATCAAATCAAAAATATCAATTTCAAATGTGAGAGATAGATAGAAAAAGGTCCTAAAAATAGCATGTCCAACGTACGAAATGTCTCGAAAAGTCATTTACTATATGTCCCAAATCTAAATATTCAAACAGTTCTTGGGCCTTCAGTAAATATCTCTCTATATTGGTATATTGGTATACCTAATATATGGTCGACCTTGGTTCCATGCTACTGTTTATGCTTTTACAATGTGTTGATGTTAGTGTTTGTGTATGGAGGTGTGTGTTGGAAGTTTTATTAGTCCGTCGCACATTTAAGGAGACCTAGGGTGATTCATAAAAAAATTAGATTTCGAATAAATGATTCTTAATATCTGAATTAGTTTGAAATTCTATTTTCAAACATAATTATTAAATTATTCATCTTGACAAATTAGCTCAGATTTTAATTTTCTAATACTGTTTTATATTCCCCCTGTAAGGTATAGATTAGGGCTTTGTGCAATAAATACCTAATAATCTGCGATACGGAAACCAAGGTCAAGATCTTTAAAGACTATATTAGGTCATACATCTTCAGCTAAACAAGTTGTACAAACTTTCTCTTCAAGTCTGTCAAGTCTGTCAAGTCTGTCAAGTCTGTCAAGTCTGTCAAGTCTGTCAAGTCTGTCAAGTCTGTCAAGTCTGTCAAGTCTGTCAAGTCTGTCAAGTCTGTCAAGTCTGTCAAGTCTGTCAAGTCTGTCAAGTCTGTCAAGTCTGTCAAGTCTGTCAAGTCTTTCAAGTCTGTCAAGTCTGTCAAGTCTGTCAAATCTTTCAAGTCCATCAAGTCTGTCAAATCAATCGTGATTTATCTCCAATATTTGAATTTCGGAAAATAATTGTTTGTGTTCGTGAAAGTGTGTGTGTGTGTGTGTTTATTTGTCGAGTTTGTTTGATTAAGAGTTAGCGTAGCTCACTATGTACCATTCTCATTCTAAGCCCATCACCAGGGTTCACGTTATTATTAGAAAAAATATTCTAAATATAATGTTAAAAAAATAAAAAATAAATTTACCAGAAATGTCAGAAGAAAAAAATATTTAAATGTAAATTTTGTATATGACTGGAAGCTCTGTTGATAATTTGAGTAAGTTTAAACATTGGCAGTTATCTAGTTGCAGCTGAAGAAGAACAATATATGTACATGATTTGGTACATGGTACATATACATAACTATAAGTGTACATTGATCTACGTTAGAGGGCAGTAATTAAGTGCTAAGCGTGCAGTATGCTGGAAAAAGGTGAGCAAGGCTTTTGAAATAAAAAAAACTTGAAAACTTGAAATGGAAGAAGTTTTGTTACAACTTTGACACAGTTTTAATAAACTTTCTCAAGAAAGGGACACAAGATAGAACAAATATTGGTCGCAATTAACTCCTAAAATTTTTAGACTTCCGCCTATACCCCCTTCATTTTTCGTGAACAATCCCTTTAAAGTACCAACGAAGAAAACGACTTCCCCGCGCTGAATAAGTCACGGTCATTTAGATGACCTTAAAATGAGCGAGGATAAATATTTGAACCAATTTTAGACAGCCAAGAGTAGACTTTGGTATTTACTATTTTATACCAAATTATTTAGCTTCGTCTTGAAAAATTATAAATTTGAAAAAAAAAGTTTGTTTGTTTTTATTCCTCCTAGAAACTGCTTAACACTTTTTAAACTACATATATTTGGTGCCTGGTGTATATATTCCTTCTGAAAACATTTTAGATTTGATAGAAATAAAAAAACTAAATTAAAATTCTGCAGGGTCTCATCTTCGGAATTCAAAGATAACATAAAATATCTAGCTACGCTGCGGCTGTGTTGAATATAAGGGGTGTGTATATGATGAAAATAACCTATTTTTCTATTCA